TTGTAACTATGCTTCCTAAATGTTGGCCACAAGTCCTTTAGGAAATTTATTGTCTTTCCACTAGTTTCTCACATTCTGTGTCTTGTCTTTTCGCTTTCTTCAGAGTATTTCTTTTTTGTGTGGCTTTTCCTCCCTCACTGGAAAACATCAGGCCTATGTAAGCACCTTATAAGCCGTAAAATTGCTTTTTCTGAATTTTGCAATTTAGATTTTGATTTTGACCATGAAAAAAAGACTTGGCTGGGCGCGGTGGCCCACACCTGTCATCCCAACACTTTGGGAGGCCAAGGCGGATGGATCACAAGGTCAGGAGTTCAAGACCAGCCTGGCCAATACGGTGAAACCCCGTCTCTACTAAAAATACAAAAAAAAAAAAAATTAGCCAGGCGTGGTGGTGGGTGACTGTAGTCCCAGATACTCGGAAGGCTGAGGCAGGACAATCTCTTGAATCCAGGAGGTGGAGGTTGCAGTGAGCCGAGATCACACTGCTGCACTCCAGCCTGGGCGACAGAGCAAGACTCCATCTCAAAAACAAAAGAAAAGAAAAAAAGAGAATCATCATAGTCCCTTGGCCTCCTGTAGAAGATACCATCGTTAAATGCAACTCATTTTTTTTTTTTGAGATTATAGAAGCCACAGCACGCAATGGTTTTGTATTTTGAGTTAATTTGTATCAAAGCTAGCAGGTTGAGGTTGCGATTCATTTTTTGATGTTGCTCACTGTGTGTCTCCTTGCTCCAGAAATTTCAGTGAAATGGATATTCCTCCTCCATTCAATTACTTTTGCTCCATTGTCAAAAATTAGTCGGACATAATTCTAGGTATTTGTTTCTGGGTTCTCTATGCTGTTCCATTTATTTATGTGTCTTATCTTTGTTCTGTGCCATACTCTCTCCATTTTATCACAGCAATATAATAAGCCCAAAACGTGTGTAATCTCTGTCACTTAATTCTTTCTCAAAATGGTTTCGACTCGCTTTTCCATCGCTTTATACATGTTACGGTAATCTTTTCTATGTATATTTTTAAAAAATTTCTAGGTATATTTTTTAAATGCTTGGATTTTTATATGAATTTTGTTTGTTTGTTTCTTGAGACGGATTCTCGCTCTGTCGCCCAGGCTGGAGTTTAGTGGCGCAGTCTTAGCTCACTGCAACCTCCACCTCCTGAGTTCAAGCAATTATTTCTGCCTCAGCCTCCCAAGTAGCTGGAATTACAGGCGCCTTCCACCACACCCAGGTAATTTTTGTATTTTTATTAGAGACGTGGTTTCATCGTGTTGGCCGGGCTGGTCTCAAACTCTTGACCTCAGGTGATCCGCCTGCCTCAGCCTCCCAAAGTGCTGGGATTGCAGGCGTGAGCCACTGCATCCAGCCTGAATTTTGTTAACTCTGTCAATCAGTTTATTGAGAACGGACCTCTTTACTGTAGTGAATGTGCTCCATGAACGTAGTGTGCCTTTCCTTTATTTGGGTCTTCTTCGATGTTTTTCATGAGAATTTTATAATTTTTATCATACAGAACTACATATGCTTGGAGAGATTTATATATAAGTATCTCATTCTCTTTGGAGCAATTTAAAATAGTTTGTTTTTTCTTTGAGACAGAGTCTCGCTCTGTAACCCAGGCTGGAGTATAATGACACGATCTCGGCTCTCTGCAACCTCCACCTCCTGGGTTCAAGTGATTCTCCTGCCTTAGCCTCCCGAGTAGCTGGGACTACAAGCACCTGCCACCTCGCCCAGCTAATTTTTTTGTATTTTCTGTGGAGACCGGGTTTCACCATGTTGGCCAGGCTGGTCTCAAACTGCTGAACTCAGATGATCCACTCGCCTCGGCCTCCCAAAGTGCTGGGATTACAGGCGTGAGCCACCACACCCGGCCTAAAATAGTATCATATTTTGTATTTTGGTTTCCCCTTGTTCATTGTCACTGTATAGAAATACAATGGATTTTTATACATGTATCTTGTATCCTGTGAACGTATTGAGCTCATTTATTAGTTCTAGAAAGTTCTTTTCCAGATTATTTGACATTTTCTATCAAGACAATTGTATCATCTTCAAATAGAGACAATTTTTTTTCCTTTTTTTCCATGAGGGTTTGTTTTTACTCTTTGACTATTGTTTGTATATTTCAAATTCTTCATAATGATTTTTTTAAAGCCAAATGATGTTTGGATCCTTCATATACTTCCCTGGACCCCATCCTGGAAAATCCCTCAAGTTATCCTCAGGTCAGAGGTCTTCAAGGAGCAGGTGCTTTAAACGCTGCTCCGTGACCACGTGACTTACCCAACCCTTGCAGATGCTTCCAGAAAATAGCTTTCTTTAGACTTTTGCTGAAACGTTTAATCAATTCACCAGTTTAAAGTTTTTTATTCATAATGTAAATAAACCAGAGTTTCCCTGGGACTTTTTCCGTTTATAGTCAAAGCTGTACACACTGAGCCCAGTGCCTTTTAATGCTTTCTGCTTTGCCAAAACTACCCTTTTTTTTCCTGCCTATTTAAACATCATCGTCAGGGCCGGGCCTGGTGGCTCACACCTGTCATCCCAGCACTTTGGGAGGCTGAAGCAGGCAGATCACGAGGTCAGGAGTTCGAGACCAGCCTGGCCAATATGGTGAAACCCCATCTCTACTAAAAATACAAAAATTAGCTGAGTGTAGTGGCGGGCGCCTCTAGTCCCAGCTACTCAGGAGGCTGAGGCAGGAGAAGCATTTGAACCCGGGAGGCGGAGGTTGCAGTGAACCAAGATCGTGCCATTGCACCCCAGCCTGGGCCACAGCACGGGACTCCGTCTCAAAACAAGAAACAAAAAACATCATTGTCAGTATTCATCTTCGGTTTGAGCCTCCGTTTCTTTCTCCTTTAAATGAAATTACTTAAGAGCAGATGTTTTTCAGCACTTTATTCCTCCTTCCCAGTTCTCTTTGTTTCTCCTGCTTGATTAAAAATCTTAAATACTACCCATCATGTTGGCACCAGACTCTCGTTGCCGAAACCTCATTTGGCTAAGCTGGTGCTGTGATCTCCCGGGTCTCCTAATGACCTGCTTCAGCGTGCGCCCCTCGGTGTGTGCAGAGGAAGCTGTGTCCCTCACATTGATCGGTCAGAAACGAACACAACAGCTCCTCTGCCAGTACGATGCCCCGGGCTGGGCTCTACCTGTCGGCTCCCTGAGGGAAGGTGGCTATGCCATTTCTCATGCTGCCTTCTTGAATAGTACCCAGAGTGCATCCACAAAATAATGCTGTGGCATGCTGAATTACAGCCCCGTCGTATACAGGTCCTTATCCTTAAAACCCATGAATAGCCTGTAATGAGGCTGAGGTGGGTGGATCACCTGAGGTGAGGAGTTCAAGACCAGCCTGGCCCACATGGCGACACCCCATCTCTACTAAAAATATACAAATTGGCCGGGCGTGGTGGCACACGCCTGTAATCCCAGCACTTTGGGAAGCCGAGGGGGGTGGATCACAAGGTCAGGAGATCGAGACCATCCTGGCTAACGCAGTGAAACCCCGTCTCTACTAAAAATACAAAAAAAAAAAAAAAATTGGCGTGATGGCGGGCGCCTGCAGTCCCAGCTACTCAGGAGGCTGAGGCAGGAGAATGGCATGAACCCAGGAGGTGGAGGTTGCAGTGATTCAAGATTGCGCCACTGCACTCCAGCCTGGGCGACAGAGCAAGACTCCATCTCAAAAAAAAAAAAAAAAAAAGGAAAAAAGAAAATTAGCTGGCTGTGGTGGTGCGAGCCTGTAATCCTGGCCACTCAGGATGCCAAGGCAGGAGAATCGCTTGAACCCGGGAAGTGGAGGTTGCAGTGAGCCGAGATCACGCCATTGCACTCCAGCTTGGGTGACAGAGCCAGACTTCATCTCAAAAACAAAGATAAGCAAACACCACTACTAAAACACGAATAGGGTTACATTATATGGTCACAGACTTTAAAGATGCAGTTCAGTTAATGATCTTGAGATGGGAGGATGATATTGGATTATTGACGTGGATCCTCAATGTCATCATAAACAAACACGAATAGGGTTACATTACATGGTAACAGACTTTAAAGATGCAGTTCAGTTAATGATCTTGAGATGGGAGGATGATATTGGATTATTGACGTGGATCCTCAATGTCATCATAAACAAACACGAATAGGGTTACATTACATGGTAACAGACTTTAAAGATGCAGTTCAGTTAATGATCTTGAGATGGGAGGATGATATTGGATTATTGACGTGGATCCTCAATGTCATCATCAGCATCTTTCTAAGAAGGAGGCAGAGGGAGACTGGACTAGCAAGAGAGTACACGATGTCAGGACTAAAACGAGGTACGATGTTGCTGGCTTTGAAGATGGAGGAACGGGCGACAGGCCGAGAAATGAAAGGAACACAGCTCTGAAAGCTGCACAACGCAAAGGAACAGCTCCTCCCCTAGAGCCTCCGGAAGAGACACTGCCTGCTGACACCGTGTAGCCCAGGGAGGCTCATTGTTGTAGTTCTGACCTCTAGAACTGTAGGACCATATACTAGTGTTGTTTCAGCCCGATAAATGATAACTTATTACAGCAGATAGCGCTTCCTGTAGCCAACCTTACTGAGACTTCAGTTGCAGCCTGTTTGGACAATGTGATAATTGGAGTTCTCCCCTTGCCATCAAAGTGACAGCTTTCAGCCTGCTGTTGGGGAAGAGATGATGGCTGCCCACGGGGTCTGCCTTCCATCACAGGCTTCTATGCAAAGAGGTTTTGTTTGTGTCTTGAATGATGATGTTTGAGACAGAATCTCGCTCTGTCACCCAGGCTGGAGTGCAGTGGTGCGATCTCGGCTCACTGCAACCTCCGCCTCCCGAGTTCAAGGGATTCTCTTGCCTCAGCCTCCTGAGTAGCTGAGACTACAGGCACCCGCCACCAAGCCTGGCCAATTTTTGCATTTTTAGTAGAGACGGGGTTTTACCATATTGGCCAGGCTGGTCTCGAATGCCTGACCTCAGATGATCCACCCACTTCAGCCTTCCAAGGTGCTGGGATGACAGGCGTGAGCCACCACACCCGGCCTATATGCAAGGAGTTTCTAAGAAAGAGCGTGTTCAAGGAAGAGCATCAGGTAACGTGTTTTGAGAACTCACAACCTGCAGAGGCAGCAGTAAACGTGTCTGATGCACTTTCCTGAGAATGTTCAATTGAGTTAGTGTAAGAATCCCACCATTCCGGGTTCCCATGTCCTCTAACGTAGACATACCACCTCTGGCTTTGCAGAAGAAACCATCTGCAATAGAAATGACAGCAATGTCCATATTATCATTCCCTCTTATCATTAGAACAGCTGATGCCTCTGGAACTGCGCGTACCGGATTGAATCCTCACAAAGGGAAAGTCGGAGATTGGAGATCAGCCTCATCTGCAAGGTCAGGCAGGAGTCGTGTACCAGCTAAGCACTGACTCCAACCTGCGTGGATCTCACCGCAAAGCACAGGCTAATGTTAACCCCCAGGCCATTTTCATGTGGATCCAGTCTCTGGGACACATCGCGTGTCATTTACATCAAGACTGAGCTTGCAGGAGGGAGGTTTTATCCTGACAGGACAGACCTTCTGGGTGTTCAGGCTAATCTCCAACCATTACCTCCACTCAGGTGTGTGTGGTAAATCCCAGTTCCTAGGAGCCCCGTGTCACTCTGACCTAATTCACTTGCTCCCTACGTACTCTCTGGCTGCGTCTGTTTTGTGTTGCTGTGAAGGAATCTCTGAGGCTGGATAATTTATAAAGAAAAGAGGTTTATTTGGCTCATGATTCTGCTGGCTGGAAAGTTCAAGATTGGACATGTGCATCTGGTAAGGGCCTCGGGCTGCTTCCACTCAGAGCGAGAGAGTGTATTCCTCTGTTTTCACACTGCTGATAAAGCCACACCCGAGACTGAGGTTGTTTTGGACTTACAGGTCCACATGTCCAGGGAAGCCTCACAATCATGGTGGAAGGCAAGGAGGAGCAAGTCACATTTTACATGGATGGCAGCAGATCTCGTGAGACCCTTCCGTTATGAGAACAACATGAGGAAGACCCGCCCCCATAATTCAGTCATCTCCCATTGGATCCCTCCCACAACCCATGGGAATGATGGGAGCTAGAAGATGCGATTTGGGTGGGGACACAGAGAGGAAGGAGAGCCGGGTGTGCAGGGACCACATGTAGAGACAGGACACAAGAGAGAGCGAGCGAGAGAGAGTGGGGAGCGTCCAGGCTCTTTGGAACAGCCAGCTTTCGTGGGAACTCATAAGAGAGACACTCTCAAGGATGAACACTAATCTGTGCATGAGGAATCCACTCCCGTGACCCAAACACCTCCCATTACTCCCCACTTTCAGCATTGGTGATGAAACTTCAGCACGAGGTATGGAGGGGTACAAACATCCCAACCATAGCATTTCTGAAACCATGCAATGAAACCATCATTGTCATAGCAACTCTCAGAAAAGCAGCTCTGAAGTGGGAACGATGCATTCTCTGCCTCTCACCAGCATCATGATTTTCAGACTCTGGAAATTTTGCTTTTGCCTGTTGTGGGTTTGCTCTGTCTTTTCAATAAATGTATCTCTAGCAACAACAAGTGGCTTCTCCCTTGTGAATGCCTTACGAGAAGTGAGGTAAACACAGTGTAGTGGAAATATCGGGATGCAGCAGGAGCGCCTCAGAAAATGAGATCCTGTCCTCCAATATCTCCTTTCATCATTGGTGCTGGTGCGATTCATCTGTCCTTGCTTTGCAGTAGAGAGGTAAACAAATTTCAAACCCAACGGGCATCCCTGGTTGCTCCCTCCCCTCTGTCCAGTTAGTGACGGTGTGAGCCATCCTCCTTTTTTTCCGGCCCTAGCGGTCTAGCAGGAGACAGCATGCCTGAGTCTGGAGAAATCCCAGTGGAAGAGACCTGCATGGTGAAGAACGTCCTGACTCCTCCCAAGAAAGGCAAATGGCAGTCTTCTAAGGTACTGGCCGATGATGGAGCTCCCATTAGTCAGACGCATGTGCCCCAGACTTGGAATCAGGCACAAGAACATGGCTATAGTCTGGATGATGGTGCCTCTGCCAAATTCACGTGTCGGAACTTAACCCCCCAGATAATGGGTATTAGGAAGCGTGGGCCATCAGGAGGTAGGATGACTGCCCTCATGCATGAGCTTGACAGATTCTGCTGGCTCCTTCTGCCCCTCTGCCATGTGAGAACACCAGGAAAGCACCATCTCTGAAGCAGAGATAGAGCAAGCCCTCAGCAGACACTACGCATCCCTCAGCAGATGGAGGCTGAGAACTGGGAGAAGGGTCTTTATTGCTTGAGCTTATGGATGGCAGGAGGCATCGGGGTCTCAGGTGAGACTCCTTGTGTTTGAATCTTCCATGTATCCTAAAAAGTCATGAAAGGAACGAGACTCTGTTCACACACTCTTTCAAGTTTCTTTTCTTCTTCTGCTTCTTCCTTCTTCCTTCTTCTTCTTTCTTCTTCTTCTTTCTTCTTCTTCTTCCTCCCCTTCTTTCTTCTTCCCCTTCTTCTTCCTTCCCCTTCCCCTCTTCTTTCTTCTTTCTTCTTCTTCTTTTGTTTGAGATGGAGTCTCGCTCTGTCGCCCAGGCTGGAGTGCAGTGGCGTGATCTCGGCTCACTGCAACCTCCGTCTCCCAGGTTCAAGTGATGCTCCTGCCTCAGCTTCCCAAGTATCTGGGACTACAGCGCCTGCCACCACACCCGGCTCATTTTTGTATTTTTATTAGAGACGGGGTTTCACCGTGTTAGCCAGGATGGTCTTGATCTCTTGACCTCGTGATCCACCCGCCTCAGCCTCCCAAAGTACTGGGATGACAGGCGTGAACCACTGCACCTGGCCCCTAGTTCCCTCTTCTATAAAATGCAGGAATGATAATATAGGTTGACCGTTCCTCATCTGGAAGTCCAAAACCTGAAATGCTCCAAAATCTGAAACTATTTGAGCACCAGCGTGGTGCCACAAGTGGAAAATTACAATGATACTAAGGTGGTATGTGTCAGGATGTTCATTGATGAAGGACAAGGAACTCTTGATCTTATGTGCAAAGTCACAGTCAAAATGCAGTCAAAACTTTGTTATATGCACAAAATTGTTAAAATGTATAAAATTACCTTCAGGTCATCTGTATAAGACGCTTATGAGGCCGGGCGTGGTGGCTCATGCTTGTAACTCCAGCACTTTGGGAGGCCGAGGCGGGTGAATCATTTGAGGTCAGGGGTTCGAGACCAGCCGGACCAACATGGTGAAACCCTGTCTCCACTAAAAATTCAAAAAAATTAGCCAGGTGTGGCGGCATGCACCTGTCATCCCAGCTACTGGGAGGCTGAGGTAGGAGAATCCCTTAAACCTAGGAGGCGGAGGTTGCAGTGAGCTGAGATCGTGCCACTGCACTCCAGCCTGGGTGCCAGAGCAAGACTCTGTCTCAAAAAAAAAAAAAGATGCATGTGAAACATAAACAAATTTTGCATTTAGACAAGAGCCCAATCCCAAGATATCTCATTAAATATACAAATATAACAAAATCTGAAAAAAAATGTTTGAAACACTTCCAGTCCCAGGCATTTCAGATAAAAGATCCTCAACCTGTATTAACTTTCTGGTTTTCTGAGAAAATGAAATGAATGGTTTTAAATCAAGAATTGGACACAGGGCTTGGTTCTTAGTAAGTGCTCAGAATGTTCTTGTCATTCTTATTATAGTCCTCAACAATCCTAACGATTATTCAGTATTTCTCCTACTTGTCAAGAGCAGGAACAAATTCAATCTTTTCCATGTATGCACTCCTCTTCGTTTGCTGATTTCTCTATAAAATACCCATGCGCTTTTTTCCCCCAATAGGTTTTTGGGCCCATCTGCTCTTTGTTTTGCAGAAGGGAATTAGAAGAAATTAGGCTGGCATCACCAAAAGTCTTTTCTCTCTTTGAAAATTATTCTTATTTTCCACCAGTCTCTGACAGCATCTTTATCTTCACCGAAAAGAATCCACGTGGAAAATGCCTTCCCTTCCACACAGTTCACTGGAGACATGTGAAAACCTGCAACTGACATTCCTGGCTTTACTCAAGTTTCTGAGGAAAGGGCTCAGCAGAGAAATAATTCCTTCCAGGGACTTTAGGCTATGACCTTGGGAACTGAAATCTGGAGACAAAGGGAACGGGTGTTTGCCTTCACCTCATGAAAGGTGAATGATGTTCTGTGGTTGCAATGGCTTATGTATTTCCTTCCTTCCTTCCTTTCCTTCCTTCCTTCCTTCCTTCCTTCCCTTCTTCCTTTCCTTTCCCCTTCCTTCCTTCTTCCTTCCTTCCCTCCTTCCTTCCTTCTCTCTCTTTCTCTTTTCTTTCTCTTTCTTCTTTCTTTTCTCTTTTCTTTCTTTTTGAGACAGTTTCCTTCCTTCCTTCCTTCTTGTTCCTGTTTCTTTTTCTTTTTTTTTTTGAAACAGAATCCCTTCCTTCCTTCCTCCCTCCCTCCCTCCCTTCCTTCCTCCCTCCCTCCCTTCCTTTCTCCCTCCCTCCCTTCCTTCCTCTTCTTTAAGACAGAGTTGGGATGGAGTCTCGCTCTGTCGCCCCGGCTGGAGTACAGTGGCACGATCTCAGCTCACTGCAAGCTCCGCCTCCCAGGTTCATACCATTCTCCTGCCTCAGCCTCCCTAGTACCTGGGACTACAGGTGCCCGCCACCATGCCTGGCTGATTTTTTGTATTTTTAGTAGAGATGGGGTTTCACCGTGTTCGCCAGGATGGTCTCGATCTCCTGACCTCGTGATCCGCCCACCTCGGCCTCCCAAAGTGCTGGGATGACAGGCGTGAGCCACCGCGCCTGGCTGTCACTGGCCATTTTTAATTTTTTTGTTTTCTTTTTTCAGATGGAGTCTCACTCTGTCACCCAGGCTGGAGTGCAGTGCTGCAATCTCTGCTCACTGCAACCTCCACCTCCTGGGTTCAAGCGATTCTCTTGCCCAGCCTCCCAAGTGACTGGGACTACAGGTGCCTGCCACCACGCCCAGCTAATTTTTGTATTTTTAGTAGAGACAGGGTTTCACCATGTTGGCCAGGCTGGTCTCGAACTCCTGACCTCAGGTAATCCGCCCACCTCGGACTCCCAAAGCATTGGGATTACAGGTGTGAGCCACCACACCCGGCCCATTTTAAATTATTGTAGTATTCTATTTTTAAACTCACATCCCTTAAACGTATTTAGTTCTTATTTTTAGTCACCGCCAACACTAGGACATAAAACCATAATAACTTCAGCAGTTTATAAAACCCTTGACATTTGAACACCTGTAGGAACCAATCATCTGAGATTATTTAAACCACACTTATTTGAAATTAGAGAATGAATTGCAGAATCCCTTTAGAACTGTGGACTTCTTCAGCCCAGAGGTTATCGATTCTTTATCTACTTTATCTACCGTCTTATCAGTCAGCGGGAAATAAATCCGCATTTGTTGAACAACCTGCTGACCAAATTAATGAATATGCCTTGGTGCTTTCTTGCAATTCTGTGGCTTAATTAAGGATCTTTAAAAATATTAGTTTTTCGGCTGGGCGCAGTGGCTCACGCCTGTCATCCCAGCACTTTGGGAGGCCGAGGCGGGTGGATCACCTGAGGTCGGGAGTTCGAGACCAGCCTGACCAACATGGTGAAACCCCGTCTCTACCAAAAATACAAAATTAGTCAGGCGTGTTGGTGCATGCCTGTAGTCCCAGCTACTTGGGAGGCTGAGGCAGGAGAATCATTGAACCTGGGAGGTGGAGGTTGCGGTGAGCTGAGATTGTGCCATTATACTCTAGCCTGGGCAACAAGACTGAAACTTCATCTCAAAAAAAAAAAAAAAAAAGTAGTCTTTCATCCAGTTTTTTAAATAAAAAACTTGATGAAAAAATACTAGTTTTCCATGCCGTTTTTTAAGAAATTGGTGGTCTATATCAAAAGATAGGAGCTGGAGCATATAAATACATAGAATAGCAGGGGGCTTTTCTGTTCTTTATTGATTGTGCTTGTTTGTTTTCGATGCCCTCTGACACAGTAAGTGACCTTTCTCTACCCAGACAATGCTTCACTGTATACCAGCTCATACAACGAGAAGAAGTTCGCACGGGCACGCCAGCACGATCTTCAGAATCCCTGTGGGTGTAAACAATGACCCTGCCGGCTTTTGAGACCAGACGCCAAGAACTTATTCTTTCCCTGATACTATTGTTCCTCCTAATGTCTTTGACATTGGAATTCGATTGAGAAAAAACGAGAGAGCGAGGGGGGATGCTGGTGGCGTTTGACAATTTGTTAAGGAGTGAGTATCAAAAACTACTTACTACAGAAGTAGAAATTTCAGAGGGTAGCTCTAAACCCAACTGTTCCAGTAGGATACCCGCTTTACGAGGGGAGGAGGGGGGATCTTAAAAGCCTCACAGTTCAGTTGGGTCTTAAGAGTCTCACAGGTGGGTCAGGTGCGGAGGCTCACGCCTGTAAAACCAGCACTTTGGGAGGCCAAGGAGGGTGGATCACCTGAGGTCAGGAGTTCAAGACCAGCCTGACCAACACGGTGAAACCCCGTCTCTACTAAAAATACAAAAATTAGCCGGGCGTGGTGGCGGGCGCCTGTAGTCCCAGCTACTCGGGAGGCTGAGGCAGAAGAATTGCTTGAACCTGGGAGGCCGAGGTTGCAGTGAGCCAAGATTGCACCATTGCACTCCAGCCTGGGTGACAGAGCAAGACTCCGTCTTTAAAAAAAAAAAGAGTCTCACAGTTCATCAGGGTTCTTGCACGAGACGATGAGGATAAGGGTAGGTGAGCACGTGGAAAGGGTGAGAACAGGTCATTTGTGTTGGAGAAAAGAAGAAAGACAGAAAAGCCGGAAGACCGCCTGGGAAGCCAACCTGCCCCAGCAGATACAAAACTACAGCCAGCAGAAGCCGTCATAGACCCCTGACCTGTGCACAGCTTTTTCCATCCTTTATTTAAATAGAACGCTGCCTTTGAAAAAAAGTTTTAATAAACATGAAAATCATAAATCCTTATTTACGTAAATAATATATCCTGGTCTTATTCTTAGAACCACTGATTTTTCACGGCTCATTAAGAAAGCTGGGCGCGGTGGCTCACACGCCTGTCATCCCAGCACTTAGGTGGGCAGATCACGAGGCCAGGAATTCGAGACCAGCCTGACCAACACGGTGAAACCCCGTCTCTACTAAAATACAAAAAAATTAGCCAGGCGTGGTGGCGGGCACTTGTAGTCCCAGCGACTCGGGAGGCTGAGGCAGGAGAATCGCTTGAACCCGGGAGGTGGAGGTTACTGTGAGCCGAGATCGCGCCACTGCACTCCAGCATGGGTAACAGAGCAAGACTCCGTCTCAAAATAAACAAAGAAATAAATACACATAAAGAACTTGGTCCTCAGTCAGTCGGTGGCAGGATAGAATCTCCAGGGGCCCCTCTTTTCTTACCCGGTCATGAAAATTTAGCCATCAGAGAGGGGTCAGAACGGCCAACTTCTCACACGCCCGGAAGGCTGAGAATACCTTTATGCTTGTTTTCCCTCCTCCTCAGCGAGTATGCCCATTGCTACTTTCTAAGTGTCTTGGAGATGTTTATATTACAGTTTTGCATTTTGTGACAAGTTCCGTAGAGTCTGCTTTTGGCCAGGAGCCTGGTAACCTACCTTCCTCACACGACGTCTCAGGCCTGTTCACAGCCACTGAGTCCACACCGTGTTTTAAACACCCGGCATTGAGTAGAAGCTCAGCCGTGGAAAGCAATTCTTTTCCTCACGGCTCTGCCCTCCAGTGACACACAAGGCAGATTTCATGTGCAAGACACGTGGATTTCCGCAAGATACAATTAATACTGTGTCACTTTCTGCTCTGAAAGTTGCCTTTGTTGATTGCACTGCAAAATTGAAAGTTGACAAGGTGAGAAGTAGTTTCCTGTGGCAATACATTGTGATTTTTTTTTTTCCTGTAAGAAATTTAAGATGACAGCCAGGCGTGGTGGATCCTGCCTGTCATCCCAGCACTTTGGGAGGCCGAGGCGGGCGGATCACCTGAGGTGGGGGGTTCAAGACCAGCCTGGCCAACATGGTGAAACCCCATCTCTATCAAAAATATAAAGACTTACCTGGGTGTGGTGGCGTCATCCCAGCTACTCGGGAGGCTGAGGCAGGAGAATCGCTGGAACCCGGGAGGCGGAGGTTGCAGTGAGCTGAGATCGCACCACTGCACTCCAGCCTGGGCAACACAGCAAGACTCCACCTAAAAAAAAAAAAAAATTCAGATGAGATGACGGCTAAAGTTTTAGGAACAAGGAGTGAGACGGCTATGGGGGAAATCCCACTGTTTAAATGTAGGGAAGAGGTGAAGAAAAGGGAGAGGAAGCAAGGAGCCCAGAAACACACAGCAAGCAGACACGCCCAAGTTCAGAAATAATCTGAAAAGGTTCACTTGCTTTGTTCCAAGAAAAACCCGAATGTATCTGGATTCAGAGAAGTCGTTTAGTCCATGATTTGATTTTTTTTTTTTTTTTTTTTTTTTTTTTTGAGACAGTGTCTTGCTCTGTCTCCCAGGCTGAAGTACAGTGGCGTGATCTCAGCTCACTGCAACCTCTGCCTCCTGGGTTCAAGCAATTCTCCTGCCTCAGCCTCCCCAGTAGCTGGGATTACAGGCACCCGCCACCACAGCTGGCTAATTTTTGTATTTTTTGTAGAGATGGGGTTTCACCATGTTGGCCAGGCTGGTCTCGAACTCCCGACCTCAGGTGATCCACCTGCCTTGGTCCCCCAAAGTGCTGGGATTATAGGCATGAGCCACCAACCTGGCTAATTTTTGTATTTTTAGTAGACATGGGGTTTCAGCATGTTGGCCAGGCTGGTGTTGAACTCCTGACCTCAGGCGATCTACCCGCCTCAGCCTCCCAAAGTGCTGGGATGACAGGCGTGAGGCACCGCGCCCGGCCAGAGGCTGTGAGTTTCTGATGGGAATTTTTGTTTTGACTTCATATGTGCTACGGACAAATGTATCCCCCTTTGATGACTGTAAGTTCCTTCTCCAGTCATTTTCTTCTCGGATCTTAGCAAGCCTTTTTTTTTTTTTTTTTTTTTTTTTTTTTTTTGATGTTAACCCTTGTCTCTTTGAGCCAAATCAAATACATTAATTATTGGAGCCAGGAGAACGGTTATAAAAGGGTCTGGGACAAGGATTAACATTCTCCTTTTCTTGGCTGGTCTCTTTTGTCCTGAAATCTTTCTTTGACTCATTCATAGTAAAATACGTATTTTTCACACTCCTCCCTTCCTTTAGCAAACGCCAGAGGCTTCAATGCATTGAGAGCAGACGCTTCTCATTATTTGTAATTATCCCCTCAGCCGAATGCAAGAAGAGGGTCCCGTGGGTAAAGCAGGCTGTTCATGAAAACGCCAGCGTTTTTATCACCATCGATACCATCTCCGCTCTTTGCTCCACTCCCCCGACGATCCTGGCTTCCCCCAGCAGGATAATTACTGGGTTATTACACTTGAACCCTGGCTGCTCTCCACAAAAAAAATGTCTCCTGTCCTCCTGGCACATGGGCATTCTGATTTTAAACAGCCAGGGACGGCCCTCCTGGCTCATGGTTTCCGCTCTGCAGGATACCATTGTCATTTGCTAGCAGGGGAAATGTGGCCGTGTATCAGAGTCCAGACTCCAGGAACCCCAGATGCTCAGATTTGTGTTGAGGCTGCTCTGGGGACGTGACAGCACATTTTTTGTGTGGTTGTGGTTGACGGTTTTGTGCGTGATTTGCATCTCCATCCTTTTTCTACCTGTGACTTCTCATCCAGGAGGTCATGGAACGGACGCTGATGTCAGCATTTCGACTTTTTTTTTTAGTAAAAATGCATAGATTGGCCAGGTGTGGTAGCTCACGCCTGTAGTCCCAGCACTTGGGGAGGCTGAGGTGGGTGGATCCCTTGAGGTTAGGAGTTCGAGACCAGCCTGGGCAACATGCGGAAACCCCGTTTCTACTAAAAATACAAAAATTAACCGGTGATGGTGGCACACGCCTGTAATCTCAACACTTTATGAGGGCAAGGCAGGGAGATCACCTCAGGTCAGGAGTTCAAGACCAGCCTGGCCCACATCACAAAACCCCGTCTGCAGTAAAAATACAAAAGTTAGGCGGTGTGATGGTGGGTGTCTGTAACCCCAGGGACTTGGGAGGATGAGGCAGGGGAATCGCTTGAATCCAGGAGGCAGAGGTTGCAGTGAGCCAAGATCACACCACTGCACTCCAGCCTGGGCGACACAGTGAGACTCTGTCTCAAAAAAGAAGAAATAAGCCAGGCTTGGTGGCTTATGCCTGTAATCCCAGCACTTTGGGAGGTCAAAGTGGATGGGTTACGAGGTCAGGAGTTCGAGACCAGCCTGACCAACATGGCAAAACCCTGTCTCTAGTAAAAATACAAAAATTAGCTGGACGTGGTGGTGGGTGCCTGTAACCCCAGCTACTCAGGAGGCTGAGGCAGGAGAATCACTTGGACCCAGGAGGCAGAGGTTGCAGTGAGCCAAGATCATGTCACCATACTCCAGCCTGGGTGACAGCAAGACTCCGTCTCAAACTACAAGAAATAGGCCAGGCGCGGTGGCTCATGCCTGTAATCCAGCACTTTGGGAGGTCGAGGTGAGTGGATCATGAGATCAGTAGTTCAAGACCAGCCTGGCCAACGTGGCAAAACCCTGTCTGTAGTAAAAATACAAAAATTAGCCGGACATGGTGGTGGGTGCCTGTAGCCCCAGCTACTCAGGAGGCTGAAGCAGGAGAACCACTTGAACCCAGGAGGCGGAGGTTGCAGTGAGCCAAGATAACGCCACTGCACTCCAGCCTGGGCAACAGAATGAGAGACTCCGTCTCAAAAAAAGAAGAAATAAATACAATAGAAATAAAAAGAAAAATGCATGTGTCTTGATTATAAATGTCTGCATTTCATAGCTCACCTTAGCTGGGCTGTTTGCATTTGGTTTGTTTGTTTGAGATGCAGTTTTGCTCTTGTTGCCCAGGGTGGAGTGCAGTGGTCTGATCTAGGCTCACCGCAAGCCTCCACCTTCCAGGTTCAAGCGATTCTCCTGCCTCAGCCTCCCGAGTAACTGGGATGACAGGTGCCCGCCACCACACCTGGCTAATTTTGTATTTTCAGTAGAGACGGGGTTTCTCCCTGTTGGTCAGGCTGGTCTGGAACTCCCGACCTCAGGTGATCCGCCGGTCTCGTCCTCCCACAGTGCTG